GAGCCAGGACTCCTGGGTTCTCCCCCTGGTTTTGGGAGGGGAGTGGGACTCTGGGTTCCATTGGGGACCCTCTTTGGCTGGATATTGGGGCTGGTCTCTGGGTTCTCTCTGTCGGGGCTGCCGGGAGGGATGGGGACATGGGCTCCCCACATCTCTGGGGCTGGTAGACGGCTGTCCCTGCTGCATGGCCGGCTCCCTGCAATCTCTGTCAAATCAAGCCTTGGATTTACCTGCCCCCAGCTCCTGGTGGGGAAGGGGGACGCCATGGGACCGGGAGCTGTGGTTGGAGGTAGACCAGAGCTTGTTCCTCTCAGCGCTGTCTGCAGTCCTGGGGCTGGGGCTGTGCAGGCTGTGCAGAAGGTAGGAAGTTGAGTAACGCTGGGCCACTGGCAGGAAGCGATTAGATGCGCCCCTTCTGGGGGGGAGTGTGGTCCCCGCCCCAGAAGAGCAGAGCAAGGCAGGGCTGGGAGCGGGAGATCTCAGGTGCGGAGGATGGGGGGAGGGCTCAGCATGGGCAGTCCCAGGCTGGTGTCTCCTGAAGGGGGCTGGGTGGGGGCAGGGGTGATGGGGACCTGGGGGGCTGGATATCCTGCGTCTCCTACGTCCTCCGCAGGTGTAGAGGTCTCTGACGGACGAGGAACCAGGATGCTGGGGGAAAAGGAGAGCAGCATGCGCCTCTAGGGGCTGGTGCACAGGGCGGATAACAGCTACACTAGCGCTGCCAGCAAATGGACCTGCTCCTTTAGCTCCTCATAGGAGATAATGGCTATACTGGTGCCGCTGGTTTGGGGGCAGGGATGGTCTCCTGCAATGCATCTGTGCAGCGCCTGGCGCAGTGGGGCCCCGATCCTGACCAGGGGCCCAACTGCAACACAAGTGCCTCCTGACGGCCATGGCTGGGCCTGGCAGCGCCTTGTGGCCTTGGCCTGGATTTTCCTTGACGAAGCGTCTTAATTGATGGTGCGTCGTTGTGTCTCTTCTGGCGCCGCGTAGCGCTGGGGGCTTGTGGCTGAGGCGCCTGGGACGCAGGACTCCTGGGTTCTGTTCCCGGCTCTGCCGCAGAGTCCCTGTGAGAAACCGGCCATGTTACTGCCATCCCCCCGCCTCGGTTTCCCCATCTGTGCAAGCAGCTCACGATGTATATTTCACAGTAAGGTGCCACCTAGAGATCTGGTCTGAGCTCAGGGCCCTGTTGTGCCAGGCGCTGCAGAGACAATCCCTGCCCAGAGAGCGCCCAGTCTCAATAGGCAAAGGCTGGAAGGGGAAACCGAGGCAGCAAGAGGGGAAGAGACTTGGCCAAGGTCACACAATAGGTTGGTGGTAGAGGTGGGGAGAGAACCCAGGAGTCCTGGTTCCCAGGCCCCCCTGTTCTAACCACTAGACTCCCCTCCCCTCCCAGAGCCAGGGAGAGAACCCAGGAGTCCTGGCTCCCAGCCCCCCAGCTCTAACCACTAGACCCCCCTCCCCTCCCAGAGCCAGGGAGAGAACCCAGGAGTCCTGGCTCCCAGCCCTATGTCCTTACTCACTAGATCACATTGCTTGTCTAGCTAAATTTCCCATCAGCCCTTTCTTATCCACAAAGCCAGGCCTGAGCGCCCCTCCGGCGCCAACACAGGGATGCCACCTGCGGCTGCCACCTACACCAGCTGTGGCAACAATGATTCTCCTGGCCTAAGGCTGCCGGGATGGGCATCGGCCTATGAGCTGCTAGCAGGGCATTAACCCTTCAGGTGCTGCAGGGAGGCCAAGTCTTAGCAGCCTCCCCAGCAGATTGTTCTTGTGCAGCAAGATAATTATCTGACCATGTTCTCATGCGTCTCGAGCTGGGGTTTTGATTTCAACACCGTGTTTCCTGTTTTTCAGGAGTCCCCCTCTACTGGAGGGCATCCAGGAGCTTACACCTCCACCCCGAAATCGAGGGCTGGGGGCCCATCAGGGGCAAACACTGATGGGGAACAGAATCGGGGCCAGACCCCAGCTGGGGTCAATCGGCCTTAGCTCCATTGGAGTTAATGGGGCCAGACCTCCAGCTGGGATCATAGAGTCATAGAAGATTAGGGTTGGAAGAGACCTCAGGAGGTATCTAGTCCAACCCCCTGCTCAAAGCAGGACCAACCCCAACCATATCATCCCAGCCAGGGCTTTGTCAAGCCAGGCCTTAAAACCAATAAGGATGGAGATTCCACCCAGTTCCCTTGGCCTCTCCTCATAAATCATGTGCTCCAGCCCCTTAATCATTTTTGTTGCCCACCGCTGGACTCTTTCCAATTTTTCCACATCCTTCTTGTAGTGTGGGGCCCAAAACTGGACACAGTACTCCAGATGAGGGCTCACCAATGCCAAATAGAGGGGAATGATCACGTCCCTCGATCTGCTGGCAATGCCCCTACTTATACAGCCCAATATGCTGTTAGCCTTCTTGGCAACAAGAGCACACTGCTGACTCATATCCTGCTTCTCGTCCACTATAATCCCCAGGTCCTTTTCTGCAGAACTGCTGCCTAGCCACTCGGTCCCTAGTCTGTAGCGGTGCCTGGGATTCTTCCGTCCTAAGTGCAGGACTCTGCACTTGTCCTTGTTGAACCTCATCAGATTTCTTTTGGCCCAATCCTCTAATTTGTCTAGGTCCCTCTGGACCAGGGCCGGTGCAAGGAAGTTTCATGCTCTAGGCGAAACTTCCACCTTGCGCCCCCCGAGCCCTGCGGCCGCCCCCCCCCCCCCCCCCGCCCTGCGGCGCCTCCCCCGTGACAGCTTCCCCCCCCCGCCCTGAGGTGCCACCCCTGCGGCAGCTCCCCCCCGGGGAGCCGTGCGGCAGCTCCCCACCCCAGCTCACCTCTGCTCCGCCTCCTCCCTGAGCGCGCCGCCCCTGCTCTAATTCTCCTCCCCTCCCAGGCTTGCGGCGCCAAACAGCTGATTGTGCTGCAAGCCTGGGAGGCGGGAGAAGTGGAGCGGCGACCGCGCGCTCTGGGAGGGGGCATAGGAACGATGTAAAAAAAAATTGGGGGCACCGCTTTTTGGCGCCCCCAAATCTTGGCGCCCTAGGCAACTGCCTAGTTTGCCTAAATGGTAACACCGGCCCTGCTCTGGACCCTATCCCTACCCTCCAGTGTATCTCCTCCCAGTTTAGTGTCATCTGCAAACTTGCTGAGGGTGCAGTCCACCCCATCCTCCAGATCAGTAATGAAGATGTCAATCGGCCGGAGTTCCACTGGAGTCAGTGAGGCCAGCCCCCCAGCTGGGGTCAATCGGCTGTAACAGCACTGAATTTACATCAATTGGGGATCTGGCCCGATAGACTTTAAATCTGTATGTAGAGGGGGAGCCAAGGGCTTGGCTAGCAGGGGCTGCAGGTCAGGATTGTGGGGCACCGACAGAGCTGGGGGGTGAGGGGAGCCAGTGCTCTAGGCGGAAGCTGAAGCCCCCTGCCCTGGCCTAGAACAGACTCAGGTGCAGAAAGCTCCCTGGAGGCGGGGGCCTGAGATCTGTCTGTCAGTTCTTATCTCTCTGTGCCTGGATCAGAGCAGAAACCTCAAGGCTGCTCTGGAGAAACGGCCTCTGATACTCTGCGAGGCGGGAGGTTTCTCAGTCGCTCACGGTGATCGACAGATACCGAGCCGGAGAGCTGATGAAGCTGATCATGCTGATAGTATGGCTTCCTTTCGGAGGTGTTTGCTGGGGCATCAGGGCTCCGGGTATGACCTGCCCGCTCGGAGCCGGTGGGGCTGACGTGTGTGGTGCTGCCAATTTCATCTCGCGGTGCGCGGGCGGGGCGGCCCAGAGGTGGGGCAAACCGGGGCCAGGTGGGGTGACGGAGACGCTCTCTAGGGGCCCGAACGCGAGGGAGATTGCCCCCCGTGCCTGGCTTTGCCGTCAGCCCTCCTTGATGTTTCGGGGCAGTGGCTGGAGTCCTGGTCTGCCCATCACCGTGGCCTCTGGGGACCTCGCAGTTTTTAACACATTGATCCTAGCCACCCTCCCTGCCCCCCGTGGGGCTGTTATCCCCAAATTGGTGGTGGGGAAACTGCCCGAGGGACTGCATAGCGGGGGTTGGAACCCAGGTGTGCCGGGTCCCAGGCTGCCCCAGTCCTTCCTCTCGGCTGGATTTGGGCCCTGATTCGAGCTGATCCCAAGGGACCATTCCAGCCTAGGAAGTGTTGAAGGACTTGTGGTAAAGGGGCTGGGTTGGGACCCCAGACAGCTGGGTTCAATTCCTAACCCTGACATTGAGTCGCTGGGTGACTTTGCTTCAGGTCCTCTCTCTGCCTCAGTTTCCCATCTGTAAAGTTGGGCGTAATCATCCTTCCCTATGTAGTATGTGCTTCAGGGCAGAGAGCGTGTCTGGCCTGACTGGGGCTCCAAGCCCGGTCCAGGGGGGTTTGTGCAGTGCCCAGGGTGGTGGGGGCCCAGATGCCCCCTAGAGAGGAAAGTCCCCATGTCCCGTTCCCCACCCAGCTGGGGATCTGGCCCCACTGACGCTAAAAGAAACATTTTCCTTAAATAGAGCAGGACGGGGACGTTAAGGCAGCCACTGACCCAGGCAAAAAATGGGACCCCCAAAGAAACAGAACTAGACTCCTTTAAACACAGCTCCAATCCTTTTATTAATGAGCCTTTAAACCCTTCCCCGGGAATTCCCGGCCCCCTTCCCATGGCGAGAGTTGAGTCTCTGAAACTATTTACATTGGGAAGGGCAGCTGCAGCCGCGCTAGCTGGGAGAACGATTCCGGGACGCCTCACCCGCAGGCTCCAGGGCATGTGCTGAGCTGAGAGGTCAGGAAGGGGAATATTGCACAGTGAGGGGGCGTAATGGGGCCAGAGGTTTCAGGTAGCAGGGACACCAGGGTGGATGGGCCCATGGATCTGATTTGGGGCGGGGGGGCAGGGAGAAGGCGGGATATCGGGCTGGATGGGCCCGTGGGGCTGATCCGGGATAGTCCCTATCGCCCCAGTGGGGCCGTGAGGAACTCATTGACCCCTCTGCTCTCTTAGCACCATCCCATCCTTCTCTGAGCTGTGCCACCGGGGCTTGTGGAAGGATGGGAAGCTGTGCTGGGACCCCATTATTGGGGTTAAATACCCAGCGGGCAAGATGGTGAGGGGGTGGGGGGAAGTGCCCAAGCCCACCAAGCCATAAGGATGAGCCACCCACCGCCCTTTCCTTCCCATTGCTGTGCCCTGGCCACCGTGTCTACGACCCGTGTGCCGGCGGCCATCTTGTTGCGCCATCTTCCACAACCAGCCTCGTGTGTGCGTGTGTGTGTGTGGAGGGGGCATAGACTGTGGGTCCCAATGCTGAGGCCTAGCAGGCTGTTAGAAGCCTGAGTTGCCTTTGGCGCCATGGCAACGGGACCCACCACTCTGTTTGCTGGAGACAAAATGGGTGACCAAGAATAATGGCAAGATGGCTG